GTGCGTCTCCTAACAAGTATAATCTGAAAGACCCCCACTAGGAAGTGCGTCTCCTAATGGGTAAAACTTCAATGACTCCAACTAGGACGTGCGTCTCCTAGGGATGAATTTAACTGACCAACATTAGGAAGTGCGTCTCTTAAAATAAAAATATAACTTGAAATACCCAGACTAGAAAGTGCATCTCCTAGGGGTAAAATCTCAATTTAGGAAGTGCGTCTCTTAAAACAAAATATAACTTGAAAGGCCTAGACTAGGAAGTGCTTCTCCTAGGGTGATGTGTGATCTTCTCAATAGCCTTCGCGCAAGCAGAATTAGGGCATTACACCTGAAAAATTCAAGCTTTGTTATGAACATAGCCTCCATCCCTATTTCAGACAAAGAAAACTTGTGAGTTTAAAACACGATGGTTAGTTTGTGGCCTTGACCTTGAAGGCGGTTGCTTCTGCACTTGCCAAGATAACTTTGATTTCAACTTGGAAGACCTTGCCTGTTATCGACTACCCATTTTCTTTCAACCCTTATCACAAAAAATACCCCTGCTCCATTCGATCCCAATATCCTCTATCTGTTGCATTTTGATCATGAATTGACATTTACCTAACCTTTGCATTTCACATGAATCCTAAAGCATGTTGATTGTTACCAACTCAGTGCGCATGCTGCTTTTCCCTAACTTATGCCACTTTGATGTGCTAGCCAAATTCGTTTTGTGCAATTGGAAAGCTGGTAGCAAATTTTAAAGCCATTTCTCACTTGTTCTGACCAAACAGACTCAAGAAGGGACTCAAACAAAACAAGAGGAACAAAATAAGGGACAAGAGAAAGAGATGATACCTAACAAGAAAATTACAAAGTAGAAACTTATCAGATGTGGATACCAACTCTAATGACCATGACATGCACCTTTGGATTAAGTGGCCTAATCTCTCAAGCAAGTCTAATATTCAACTCTTGTTCTACCTCTTTGCTGTGAAACTGGGCTTCACCGCTTCAATTGTCCTATCTTATCCACAATCCTCAATCGACTTGTAGTGCCCTGAAGGGTTTTCACCATCAAGCCTCTCTCATTTTGCTTTTTTTCCTTCTCAACTCACTGTCGCCTTACGGTGCCCATGGGGGTTTTCACCGATAGGACTCTCTCATTTTATCACTTTCTCTATTTGTGCCGAGAACAAGGTATTACCCATGATACAAGAAGATCAGACTTTCACCACACACTTGATTTGACATCCTCAAAAAATTGGTCGGAAGGTCTTTCTTTGGACCGTAATATAGGTTTTTGGACAGGGTTGGAAAGAAAGGGTGGCATGGAGGCTCAAAATAATTTAATATAAAAGGGTTCAAAATTACAACTTTTGGAATTAGGCCTTTTGGCAAAATTAAAACTTCTGCCCCAATTTCTTGGAGTTTGGGGAATATTTTTTTTTGATTTTTGCTTTGATGGGATTTCTAAGAAAATCTGCCCCACTCTTGACTTCGGGGATTATGAAATATTTTATTTGGCGTGACCGAACTGTAAGACTGCCTACGTATCTTATGGTGACAAGAATCAGGTCGAACGTAGTTCAAACGACAAAGTTTTTTTTTCTTTTCCTTCTCTTTTATTTTCTTTTTCCTTTTTATTCTTTTCTCCTTTTTTCTTTTTTTCTCTTTTCCTTTTTTTTTCCTTCTTTTTCTTTTCCTTTTCTAGTTCCTAACTCTATTTCTGATTCCAAAAGAGGGGTATAAAACAAAAAATTAGGGCTCAAAATGGGTAGCAAAGGATAAAAGTATTTGGGTAACAGAATAAAATGTCTTCGTCACACCAAACTTAAAAATGCCAAGTACAAATATGCAATTGAAGATAAGCAAACAAATCACACATAGTATCTATTGATGGCATCAACACAAACAAAAAGTGTCAATGCGCAATACCTTTGTCCTAATGAATGACCCTTGCCAGTTCGAAGTAGACTTGACTCAACCTTATCTTGATGTGGAAGAATGCATTTCAACACTAACCGATTTACCTCAAACTGCTTGAGAGACATTTCCTTGTTGTATGCTCTTATCAACTTCTTGATTTCCCAGACTTACTGCCTCAGTTTCACTCAATTCAAAGTTCAGGTCATCTCAGACTGCGTGAATCTTTAATTGTTTCCTCAAACACATCCTTTTATCATATTCAAAACTGTGCCATTGCTTCATGATTAGACTAACTTTCAAGATCAGGTTGAGAATTATGCGTGCATGTCATGTCACTAGAGTCGGCATGAAAAGAACTATAAAAGGAAAAATGACCTAAACATAAACTGACTAGAACTAACAGAAAATAGGAGATTGCATTAGACAGATGATGAAAAGGGTTTGAACAAGACAAGAAAATAGACATAGGTTACAACCCTGGAACAATCCTAAATAACACAAGACGAGTTACTACAACTAAACGAACTAGACAAAATGAGAATAAGAAGAGTTTGAGCCACAAGACAATATCCGGATTACAACCCTAAAATAACCCGGACAAACAGAAGTGATAACAAAATAAACCACCAAAACTCCTCCCTGGCTAGCCAAGAAAGGAGTGTCTTTCCAATTACCAAGCTCGACATCTTAGCCACTAGGTTGCACATCAAAATTACTGGGGCCTTCACCAATTTCAATATCATTAACTTCAGCGCAAGTTCCTAAGAGGATTCTCATACTCTCTATCACCACGCATCTTCCCCACAAAGTGTGTATCATCATGTGCAAGTAAAGAATTTTGTGCAATGTTTCGGGTGTCACTGTCTTGGACCACAATTATCCCTTCTTGAATCATTCTTTCTATGTCCCTTTTCAAAGCACGACAATCTTCAATGCTATGCCCTTGGACATTAGAGTGGTACATGCACCGTACAGTAGGATCAAAACCTTTTGCATATGGGTACAGAGTATAGCCGAGGAGCGGCTCAATCAAGCCAGGTTGTTTTAACTTTTCAAACAAGCTAGTGTAGGATTCTTCGATTGGCGTGAAACTATTTCTTTGCCTTTGTTCCCCTCTGTGCCCCTATTTTTTAGGGTTGTTGGGTGCTCAAAAATTTTGTGAAGGCGAAAGAGTATTATGCAGTGCTGGTGCTCGCTATAAGGAGTGACCCAGTTGTTGGACAGAGGACCGGACGCTGTTAGGATGATAGTATTGAGGTGGATTATGTGGAACTCGGGGATAGGTTTGGGGTCGGGGTTGAAGCCGAGTATATTGGTGAGGCAGATCCGTTGGGCCATCTCGTGATCCTGAGACAACCATGGCAACATCATCCTTTTTCTTCTGACCCGACAAGTTTCCTATGTCATTCTGAATTGCTTGTGTCGTGGCTTTTAAGGCGGAATAGCTCATGATCTTGCTTGACTTCAACCCATCTTCTACCATTTCCCCCATTTTTACCACATCAATAAAAGGCTTACCCACAACCGATATCAAATGCCCAAAGTAAGTAGGCTCTTGAGCTTGAAGAAAGTACTCGACTATTTCATCTTCTCCCATCAGAGGATTGACTTGCGCGACTTGCTCTCTCTATCTGAAACCATATTCCCTGAAATTTTCACTATGTTTCTTCTCTATCTTTGTCAAGGATAGGCGATCCAGGACAATGTCTATGTTGTACTGAAAATGCTGAGCAAAAGACTGAGCCAAATCGTCCCATGTGTACCACCTACTGGCATCCTAGTGGGTGTACCATTCTAAAGCTGTCCCACTCAGACTCTGGCTGAAGTACGCCATCAGTAATTCGTCTTTTCCCCATGCGCCTCTCATTTTACTGCAATAACCTCTCAGATGAGCTACAGGATCCCTATGTCCGTCATACAAGTCAAACTTGGGCATCTTGAACCTAGCAGGTAGTTGGATATCAGGGAACAAACACAAATCCTTATAAGCCACACTTACTTGGCTTCCTAACCCTTACATATTTCTCAATGATTGCTCCAGACTCTTTACTTTCCTAAACATCTCCTCTTGCTCCGCGTTCTTGGGTGGTTTCTCAATTTCAACATGAGGCTCAAAGTGAGGAGTGTAGGAGTAAGGATCTGGGACTTTGAAAGTGGGTTCCGGGGCATAGTATTGGGTATCTGGATCTTGGAATGTCGGTTCACTGGAGGATCGATGGAGGGTAGCTTGTAGAGGGGGTACAAAAATAGGAGCAGATGTCGGAGCAGGGTATGAGGTTGTTTTGGCTGGTGGAGCATGAATAATTTGGGCCGAAGTGCCGGGGTAGGAGTGGTAAGGGGTGAAGCCTGGTGCGTGTTGTGGGGAAAGATCAACGGTATTGGGCATCTGGGATAGGGAGAGTGGTGGAATGGAATCAGGGTTTTCTGTATAGTTAGTAGGGAATGAGGGTGGAGGGTGTCCCCTAATCCAGGCCTGATACATTTCAGCCATCTGATGCTTCAACCTTCTGACCTCCTCTTTCAGTTCCGATTCTACAATCTCCCTTGGTGGGTCTACAACTCCAGTGTCCAAGTCTTTACCAGCCATGTCTACCTTGCTCTTTTGACTTTGTGTTGTACAGATGACTCGCCAAAGTGCCACAAACTAACCACTCTCTGTTATGATAATAATGAAAGTAACAAAGGGAGCAAAACAAAGCCAACATGTTAGCATTAGGACATTTATCAAATATAAATATCACATTGCGTGCAATGCCCCTAGTAACAATTAATGGTTCTAGAATGGCTTCGAGGGTACGAAGGTCATATGACATCATCCTAATTTCACTCTTCTTGCCCCATTTCCTTCTTCATTTTCCTTTATAACACCACTTGGTTTTTCATTTCTTTCCCCCTCTTTTCTTTCCTCTCATTTCTCACGTCCCACAACTTTATTCTCTTTTTCTCTTTCTCTTCTTTTTGTTTTCTTCTTCCTTTTTTATTTTTTTTGTTTTTTTAAATGATGATTCGATCGAACCTTATGTAGGTTACCTACATATCATGTCCCTCATGAATAAGATCAAGCGTAGTTCTGGAAAAGATAATGGATAAAATAAACTAAAAAATAAAATCTTTTTGGATTTTTCATTTAATTTTTTTTTCGGTTTTCAAATACAAAACAGGAAGTACGATAATTAGAGACTCGACAAACTAAATTATACTACGACAACTCTGGCACCAACTAAATGACTTAATACTACTGTACATGACTAGGAAATAAAACATGAACAATAGACTCAAAAACATAAAAAAGGCTCATCAAGAAGCTCCTGAATGCAGTGATCCTAGGGTATCTCTCATGCTCGAGCTGTAGTAAATGAATCCATACCTGAATGATAAAAATAATACCAAATAGATTAGTGACTCGAGACACTAAGTGAGACAACAACACCTCCTATTGGACACATGCAAGACATGATTGGGCTATTTTTTGAAAATTAACCTACATGGTCAAGAGTGGCTATAAGTGCAAAATCAACAAGGGTGACTACTCAGATATGAAAATACCTTAATAATGCTTATATAGATTCAACTCCCTATAATCATGGCCCAAAAATTAATTTACAGATTTGACCCATTTCGCAAAAACGACCGATAAGGCCAGAAGTGGCTAAAGATGCAAACTCAAAAAGGATGGACCTTAAAGTAATATGACACCTAGTTGTGGACTCAGGATTCTAAGACATGGGTAATTGGGCAACTTTTGCGAAAATGACCTCATTTGCAAGAATGGCCGATGTGGCCAAAAGTGGCTAAACATGCAAGATTTGGCTAAGACCCCGTAAATCCAAGAACCTAAGACTTACTAGGAAGACTGGACCCTATGTGGGTTGCCTAGGTATCCCGCCCCGAAAGACGAGAATAAGGTCCGCGTAGTTCAGGAAGATTAGATATAGGATAGAATTTTAAAAAATGCATCTAATTTGAAAAAAAAAACTACATATTTTTTTGTCTTTTTGAAAAAAATGATGAAAAATGTAAAATCTTTTTGGATTTTCATTTTCATTCTTTTTCTTGCAAAAGTTATGAAAGAAAAATATAATTGGGCCCTACTTGCTTCATTTTTCACCCTTCTTTCCTAAACATCGGTCCGTCAAATGACCTTTTTACCCTCAAATAGGGATGATTGAATGTCCTTGTTGGGTCATGGGCCCGTTTTGACATAATTGGGATAGGCCTCCTATAAAGGGACACGGTGCCTGGGACCGAGCCCTACTAGGTGTAAATGACATGATGCAAATAAAAATGACCTAAAGGATGACCTAAGTTTGGGGTTCACTAGACAAGACAATTCGGGGCGGCACGTGGTCGATGGCAGCTGCTATAGCTGTCCGCCCACTCCACGCTCCCACGCCACCCCTAAAGACACGGGTGACTCACAAAAAGACCGTGTATGCTCAAACATACTCCGCAAGACTTGTTGCAGAAAGAAGACTCATGGTTATGCAAATGATGACAAGTTATAAAGCAGTAACACCTAAAGAAAAAATTGTAAACAAATAAGCAACTAGCAAATAATAAAACGACATAAACAAAATAAAAATCAAATAAAGCAAACAAAACACATAAAAACCTCAACCGAATATCCTAAAAAGCCAACAAGATCAAGTACTAGCTCGAACCTGCAACTCCCTAGCAGAGTCGCCAGAGCTGTCACACCCTTTTTTTAACCAACCTCACTTAACCCTCTTAAAATTAATAAAAGAATTTGTAAAGCTTGAAAAGGGTTTTCTAATTAGAACGTGACAAAAATTGTGTTCAAAAGGAAATAACTCAGATTCGCCACCTGACATTGGTTTTGGTGTGCCAGGTCACCGTTCAAAAGCAATTTCTCCTTTCAAAACACATGGACTTCAAAACTAAGTCTGCACCAGAGATTCAGGTAAGGGGGTTCATTTGACTCGGGGAGAAGGTGTTAGGCACTCCCCAAGTTCCGTAATTAGTACGGTTGCGTACTTGATCTAGTCGGCTTTTATAATATTCGAATTGAGGTAATAACACACAAAAAGAAAAAAAATAATCAAAAGAGGCTCGAGGTCGTCCCCAGCTAAATGAAAGAAAATTAAAAGAAAAAATTAAAGTTCTAAATTATCCTACGCTACTTCTTCTATGATGCTCGCCACGGCCTCCAATTACATTCACTTCGGGGCATACCCTTGAAATAAAATATATACAAATCCCTCGGGGCATTCCCCAGATAAATTTAACTAAGGGAACGAACTCTCGCCTCGAAAATAACAAAATCCTAAGGCTTGCCTACCCGAGTGTTACCGGCCTAAGCATGCTCCTAGTGACTTTAAAATAAATAAAGTTAAAACAAAAACTATTTTAAGGCCAGAACACTTTTAATTTTGTTTGCCCCAAATCCCACGACACATTCATCTTGTTTTGCACCCTCTCTATTTTTTAATAGATTTTATCAACAATAATAGATAACCGAGAGAATTAATCCAAACTACTAAATTTCAGATTCATGGCACCAAAGTACTTTAAACAATCAACAACAAATAACACATTCAATGTCAAGTTATAAGATCAGATAGCAAGCCAATTTTTTTTTTTAGAGAAAACAGAGCAAGAGACAACCTCGAACTTGAACCGGGATTTTGGCGGACGGCGACGACCTCAACTTTACTCCACTGTAGCCAAACTTCATAAATTCCCATTGAAATCAGAAATAAAGTAAAAGAGATTTGAAATATTTTGTTAATTCTCTTATTTTTTTTTTGGAAGTTGACGTCGAACGCAGTAAATGATGAACCCCTCAAATTCTCCAAACTCTCGATCTACTTCTCCGATTTACGTCCAAAAACCTCTTCAAAATTTATATCTTCCTCACCTCTATCCATGTGTGTGTGTGTTTGGGATTGGGAGGTGAGACGGTTGCAGGTCGTTTGGAGTGAGTTAGGAAGCAACATCGGCTGCTCGTTTGGTGGATGTTTGCCGCTTAAGGGCTGGTGGAGTTGGTGGTCGGCGGCTTTGTGCAGTGAGGGTGAAGGGCGGCGGCGCTGGTTTTAGGAACGACGGCGGCTACTGGGTTCCGCTGCTGGGGTCTATTTGATACTGGAGATGGAGAAAGGATGGGGGTGGCAGGTAGTTGGTTGTTGTGTGTTAGGTTATTTGGGCGGCGGGCGGCGGTTGGACATTTTTCCGGCGCATTTTTAGGGCGTTAGGGCTGCTTCTTTGTGTGTTGGAGAAGAAGGGTTGTTGGTTTGGTTATGGGCAACAGAGGGTTCGGTGGTTGGAGTGTTCAGGAGTCTTCTCTAGGGTTTTAGTAGTGTGTAGGGTTAGGAAGAAAAGGTTAGGGTGTAAGGGTTAAAGAAGAAGGGGTAATGGATTAGGTCTTGTTGGGCTTCCAAATTGAGCTCAAAGACTAAAATTAAATAGCAAAATACTACTAAAATACTAGTAATTGACTTTAACTAACATAAAATTTATATTGATATGAAACCATCATTTTTCAAAGATTATATATTAAAGTGAAAGTAGAGAGTTAATTAGAATGATAGCAAACTTAGATTAATATTACCACAAAAGACTAATGGCCTCAACTTAAATAGAAAGATAAAAGATAAAATTGAAAATATTTTTGTATTTTCGAATTTTATGTTCTACTATTAGACTAAAAGTGAAAAATAGGCTAAATCCTATTAAAATAAAAATAAGTAAATATTTTTAAAAATACTACTTTTAAAAGTCACTACTAGAAATCTGGAAAAGAACGACCAAAGTTGGTCGCTTACAGGTCAAAAGCGACCAAAAAGCGTCCAAACAGGCCTGATTGCTATTTTGCTGGTCCCTTTACCTTAGGGACCAAAGTTGGTCGCTAACTTTGGTCTCTAAGGTAAAAGGACCAAATATTCCGGGTAAACAATATACCGACCAACTTTGGTCGTTTTAATATTTTAATAATATAAATTTAGCGACCAATGTTGGTCTCTATATTTAAAATAGGTTTATATTTATTTATTATTAATCAAAATATAGCGACCAACTTTGGTTTGTAAACCAAATATTATATTTTAAAATCTGAAAAATAGCGACCAAAGTTGGTCGCTTTTTTATTTATTTATTTATTTATTTTAAACATAAGCGACCAAAATTGGTCACTAATTTCAAGAATTTAATTATTTTTTAAACATAAACGACCAAAATTGGTCGCTATTTTCCAGAAATTATTTTTTTAATATAATGGCGACCAAAGTTGGTCACTTTTTAAGAAATCTGGGTTAATTAACGACCAACCTTGGTCGCTATTTCCCAGAAATAAATTTTTTAATTAGAAAAGTGACCAACAAGCGACCAAAGTTGGTCGCTTTTCTGGGTACAATTTTGGTAGAAACTGCCTGTTTTGGCAGCTACACCACCTGTCAGCATACCAAATCCCTATTACAAGCAGCAGCAGCAACAACAACAACAACAACAACAACAACAACAACACCAACAACAACACAACAACAACAACAACAACACAACAACAACATTAACAACATTAAAACCAACAAGTATAAAGTTCAATAGAACTAACACATTAAGCTAACCAAATTAAGTTAACTCTTATTACAAGTCCATTCGAAAATCGATTCTATTTGTCTAATTCAAAGTGTATAAAACTCAATGAGTGTTTTGTACATCATTATCATCACCGTCTGATGAACTTTCATCACCAAGACGGTATCCAGAAGGGTCTACTTGTCGAGGATGAGAAGAATGATCACGGGGAGGACGGGAGGGATGAACACTTGGAGGATGGGAGGAACGAGCACGGGGAAGGCGAGCCTCTGGTGATGACTCATGAGACCGGGGAATCGGAAAACCTCCAGAATCTATGAGAGATTTGAGCTGCTCTTGCATGCCCTGGCACTGAGCTTGCATGCCAATGTACTGAGCATCTCTAAGCTTTTCTCTTTCCTTGGCCGTTTTTAGCTCGGATGTGAGCTTTGTCAGTCTCCCGCATAGCGAAGAGGCTCTCCCCATCAAGTTGCTCGACTTGCGAGGAAGTCCCTATTCCTTGCATTCCACACTTATAGCGATAGAATTTCTTAGTAGGAAACCCGTATACCTTCCCCCATTTTGGACCGCCTGCAGCCTCCGTCCATATAAAATTATATAGCAAAAATTAAAAATTAAAAAGCTAATAAGGTAGATTACTAACCTTTGTAGATTAAAAGGAGGATTGAAAAGCAATGGTGGTGCTACAGCGGCTCCGGCGGACAGTGATAGCGGCTCTGGCGGTGGTGGCGCGCAGTCACAGGGCGGTGCGGGATGGGGGGATTGATTTGTGTGAAATAAATAGAGAAGGGGAGGGGAATGTGTTGAGAGAGAGTTTGGGGAAATTTGGGGAAGAAAATAAGAGAATGGGAGGGGGGAAACCCGTTTTTGACTCTGGATTTACAAAAAGCGACCAACATTAGTCGCTATTTTGGTAGCTAATTAAGTTTTGACTGTTTAACCAAAATAACGACCAACGNCTACATATATAGCATGTTAGAGTATATTTTAGTATATTCATCCCTTGTATTACAAAAGTGTTAATGGATTACATTTATATTATCTAGATAGTAAATACAAAAGTGATTTTTAATTTTGACTAATATTGACCTGAAAAGAGACCAACTTTGGTCGCTAATTATCCAGAAATTCAAATTAGCGACCAAAGTTGGTCGCTAAATATTCAGAAAATTAAAATTAGCGACCAACGTTGGTCGCTAAATATAAATCAAATTTATTTATATTTTATATAATATTTAAAATAATAATATAATTGTTAAACGTTAGAATTAGGTCCAAGATTAGCGACCAAAGTTGGTCTCTATCTGCTTCCCCTTTGGTAAGCGACCAACTTTGGTCGCTAATTTTGAATTATATTTTTTTATATTTTATAATTTTTTTAAAATAATAATATAATTATTAAAAGTTTATAACTGGGTCCCAGATTAGCGACCAAAGTTGGTCTCTATCTGCTTCCCCTTTCGTGAGCGATCAACTTTGGTCGCTAATTTTAAATTATATTTATTTATATTTTATATTTTTTTTTAAATAATTATATAATTATTAAAAATTTATAAGTGGGTCCCACTTTAGCGACCAAGTTGGTCGCCAATTTCAGTATTTCTTTGACCAAGCAAGTCTGACCACTCCGGTCAACATTTTGACCAAATTATCGACCAAAAAGCGACCAACCTTGGTCGCTAATGTATTTAGAATAATGATTTAATTATTTTCTCCAATTTAGCGACCAATGTTGGTCGCTTTTCTTGACAGACCAATTTTGGTCGCCAAATTTTGGTCGCTTTTTTCTGAATTTCTAATAGTGAGTTGCGCAGGTCAAAAATTTCGTGCTTACAAAAGGTCCAAGTCGTAAACCCCCAAAAAACATGATTTGTTGTACCTCTAATAATTCTACGCAAAAGAACAAAGAAATTGCATTATTTGTCATTGATGATGTAATTCCTTTTTAATGACTTTTACTAATAAATTCAATAGTTGTTACTTGTTAGCACTTGGTATCATTTGGATATTCTCAATCCTCTACGATTCTGCTGGTGATATCGTTGAAGACTTATATCTCAATGAATATTCAGTAGTCCTCTATTAGTTTATATTTTCAGAAAAAAGTAAGTATAGTAAGTATTCTTAAACTGATAAAAATTATATAGTAGCAATTCTACAAAATAATTAATAATGTCTGAAAACAATGTTGTCTGTGCTACTTGTGGAAGTAAATTAAATAACTATAATTATGAAGTTTTTAATTCATCAAGGGACATACTCAGGATTTAATATGTTTGAATAAAATTTTACAAAATTGCCTTTAAATAAAGTAGATTGACTTTCTTAGAAGTTAATGACAAACGAAATTCCAACTTGGATTTATTAAAATGGGACGAAAAAAACTAGAAAGCAAAATGGTATCAGTATATCCACCTTAGTAGAGTTCTAAAGGACAATAAGACTAATTTCAAAAGATATTTTAAAATAGGGATCTTTATGTACGTAGTCGTCCGGTTTTGCTGTTTACTTTTCTTTGCCGGTTATGTATATATTATACATTAATTATAGATAATTATACATATATTATACTCATATCATACATAAATTACACGTATGATTGTTTTTACGTTAATTTTTTTGAAAATATCGAGGAAATTAATTTGATCCTATAAGGTGAAAAGGGCTATTTTTGGTGCACCCACCGCAATAAAAGAAAGAAAATGTGATAATTTTCTTTGACTTTAGAAAAAAAAACTTAAAAAGAATTTTTATTACAATATAATAAAAAAAGTTGAATAATTAGTATTCCTATTACAACGGGCCATGAACTTTGCCTTACCTACATGTCATGCAAGCCTATCATAATGGTACTAACTTTTAACATTTATTCAATTTAATATTGCTTATTTATATATATCAAATCATTTGGCTGACTACTTAAAGTGAAACTCTTTCAAAGTACACAAATAAATCTCTAGCTATTTGTTTTGAAGTTGAAGGAAAATTAAACATCAAATTCATATGGACAAATTCAAGAAAATTTGTGTCTTTTGTGGAAGTAATTCAGGCAATAGGAAAATTTTCAGTGATGCTGCTCTTGATCTTGGAAGAGAACTGGTCTTTTTCTTTTTTTCTTCTCTCTTTCTCTTTATATGTGTATTTATAATTGTTTAAAAAATCTCTTCTTTATTTGTTTTGATAAAAAATATTATTGGATTTTAGAGGTTGTTATTATTAATAAAGAGAAGTTTTAGGTGGAGAGGAAGATGGATCTAGTTTATGGAGGAGGAAGTATTGGACTTATGGGGTTGGTTTCTCAAGCTGTTTATGATGGTGGATGCAATGTTCTTGGGTAAGTGAGAATCCTTCAAC